ACAAATCAACTCCCGTTGTCGTTGTAGTAGCTAGCTCGTCTCTGAAATGGCAAATCGAAGTTACGTGTCGAGGTATGTTTCGTAACTCAACTCTGAATTCAAAAACCCTAAACACACAAATGTCGTTTGTGTTCTGTCATAGCATATGATTTGTTTATACCATGTAGTCTTAATTTGATGTGATCCCGTTTTTATCTATGTTTTAATTTGTTTATGTTCTGTTGTAGGCCCTCTGATACCCAAGCTGTTAGATTTAGAGTACACCATAGAGGATATTTAATTCAGAATCTAGTTTTGTTGTATGTTGGTGGGCTTGTAACTGAAATGAATTGGGATTGGGATGTGGACTTTATGTCCTACATGCAAATTGAAGATTTGATCAAAAGTGAAGGGTATCGTAATATAAAGTGTTTATGGTATTGGAATCCTAAATTTTCCTTTTCTCGTGGACTTCGGCCTCTGAACAATGATAATGATTTCTTAAGGTTAATGGAGGATGTTAGAGGATTTAAGGTAGTTGATATTTATGTTAAACACAAAATTGAAGAAATAAGTATTGAGGATGTTATTTTTGAGGAGGATAATAGTGAAAAAGTCAATGGTGAAGGAGCAAACGGTGAAGTTAATGTTGAGGGAGCAAATGATGAAGTTAATGTTGAGGGAGAAAATGATGACGTTAATGTTGAGGGAGCAAATGATGAAGTTAATGTCGAGGGAGCAAACGATGAAGTTAATGTTGAGGGAGAAAACGATGAAGTTAATGTTGAGGGAGCAAACGATGAAGTTATTGTTGAGGGAGCAAATGATGGAGCAGATGAAGAGTCTAATGGTGATGGAGTAGATGAAGAGGTTAGTGTTCATGGAGTAGATAAAGAGGTTAGTGTTGATGGAGTAGATGAAGAGGTTAGTGTTGGTGGAGTAGATGAAGAGGTTAGCATTAATGTTGATGACGTAGATGAAGAGAGTGAAACAGATCCAGATTATAGCATGGGCAGTGAGGATGACGAGGAAGAGGATGAAGATTTTGAAAATGAACTTGATGAGATGAATTTAGGTGTTGACGTTGGTATTAATTGGAAGACCATTTTACCTAATGCTACAGCAGAAAAACCTTCAAAGTTGGATGGTAATTCCGATAATGGTAGTGATTCAGATGTGCTTCAAACTCCACCAGGTAGTGATGCTGAAGGTGATATGGAAAAGTTTCCAATCTTTAGGGAAACCACAAAACTTGAAGTAAGGATGATGTTCAAGGATAAACCACAAATCAAAGATTCCATAAAGGAGTATGCAATGGAGAAAAAGAAGAATCTTGTATTTCAGAAAAATGACAAGAAGAGAATGGTTGTCAAGTGTTTAAATGGTTGTCCATTTTATATTAGGTTTAACATGAGGAATACCAACCAATATTGGCAACTTGTTAGCTTAACTGGTCGTCATGGTTGTCATAGGACAGCCAAAAATAGACAAGCAAAAACGATTTAGTTGGGTCGCCAATTTGTGTACACTATAAGACACACTCCTGAAATAAAAACCAAAGAGCTGATTGCAGAAGCTATTAAGAAGTGGGGGTGAAGTTGTCAAAGGATCAAGCTTATAGAGCCAAGAAAAAGGCAATGGAATTGATTCAAGGTGCCGGTCGTGAACAATTCACACATCTTAGAAGCTATGGTGAGGAGTTGTTAAAGTCAAATCCAAACTTCACTATTAAAATTAAGTGTGCTGATTCAGATGGTGGTCCTGTCTTTAAAAGAATATATGTAAGCTTAGAAGCTTGTAAGGCAGCATTTGCAACGACTTGTAGGCCTCTAATAGGACAGGATGCTTGTTTTCTTAAAGGGGACTTTGGAGGTCAGTTAATAGGTGTTGTTGGTAAGGATGGAAATAACAAGATTTATCCAATCGCTTATGCCGTCGTAGAAGCTGAAACGAAAGACTCTTGGCAATGGTTCCTTAATTTGTTACTAGAAGACTTGCAATCTATTCAACACAACAAATATGGATTTATATCAAGACAACAGAAGGTTAGTTTTACCGTGCTGCTATTTGTTATATGTGTTATGTGCTGATATGTTACAATGTTATTTACATGCTGCTATATGCTGATATGTGTTATGGATTTACAATGTTATTTACATGTGTGTTATGAATTTACAATGTTGTTTACATGCTGCTATGTGTTGATATGTGTTATGATTTACAATGTAATTTACATGTGTGTTATGGATTTACAATGTTATTTACATGTTGCTATGTGCTGATATGTGTTATGGGTTTACAATGTTATTTACATGCTGCTATGTGCTGATATGTGTTATGGATTTACAATGTTATTTACAGTGTTGCTATGGATTTACAATGTTATTTACATGTTGCTATGTGCTGATATGTGTTATGGATTTACAATGGTATTTCCAATGCTGCTATGTGTTATGGATTTACAATGTTATTTATAGTGTTGCTATGTGTTATAGATTTACATTGTTATTTACATGTGTTTTATGGATTTACAATGTTATTTATAGTGTTGCTATGTGTTATGGATTTACAATGTTATTTACATGTGTGTTATAGATTTACAATGTTATTTACAGTGCTGCTATGTGTTATGGATTTACAATGTTATTTACATATGTGTTATGGATTTACAATGTTATTTACAGTGTTGTTATGGATTGTATGTTCAGGGATTGGTACCTACTATTCTTGAGACAAGCCAACATGTTGAACACAGATTATGTGTTAAACACTTGTATGACAATTGGAGAAAGAGATATCATGGGATATTCATGAAGGAGGCTTTATGGAGGGCAGCTAGAGCCACAACAATACCTGCATGGGAAAGAGCAATGAATCATATGAAAGAGCTCAATGTCAATGCTTGGAAAGACATGATGGATGTCCCAGCTGCATGTTGGACTCGGTCTCATTTCAAAACAGACACACAATGTGATTTGTAAGTCAACAATATGTGTGAGGTTTTTAATCACGCAATCTTGGAGTATAGAGATAAGTCGATCATTTCACTACTTGAAGGGATCAAACATTACATAACAGTGAGAATCTCTGCTCAAAAGGAGAAATTAAGTAGGTACACAGGTGTTACAAGTCCTAACATTCAAAAAGTCTTGGAAAAAACAAAGAGGGCAGCAGAAGGATGGATTGCAGCATGGCATGCAGATGATGACTTTGCTATATTCGGAGTTTCAAACGGTGTTGAGACATATGTTGTGAACTTAATTCAATAGAAATGTGGTTGTAGGAAGTGGGATTTAAGTGGAATACCATGTTGTCATGCTATTGCAAGCATATGGTATAACAAGAAGGAGCCCGAAGAGTACGTTTCATCATTCTATACGCATCACCTGCTCATATATTATGTTCACTTACATTCATCTTTTTTGAACACTTACTAAAATCATTGTGTCATTTTGTATAGGAAGTTTACTGTTCTGGCTACTTATAGCCATATTATTATGCCAACCAATGGCCCACAACTATGGCCTGTTAATGTTGCTAACCTAATCAACCCTTCAGTCATGCGAAGATCTATCGGTCGTCCTAAGAAGAATCATAACAAGGCGAATGATGAACCGAGGATAAGAAATACACTGCCTAGAACTCTTCAAACTGTCAAGTGCAAGAAATGTGGGAGTTTTGGCCATAACAAGCGAACGTGTAAAGGGAAGCGAGCTGCGGAGAGAGCGATTCCAAAAGGTGGCAACAAAAAACCTAAAAAAAATGGTGACAAGTCGGGCATGGAAGCGGGACAAACTGTTATAGACGGGGGACAAACTGTTATAGACGGAGGGTCGCAAGTACCGCCACCAACCCAAGAATAGTTCTACGTTTGACTTTACTTTTTGTTATGTTAATGAAGTGTGTAATGGTTGTTTTGTGATGCTGCTATGTAATGACCAAAACACTCAAGGTCTGCTTGTTTTGTGATGCTACTATAGCATATGTTATGACCAAAAAACTCAAGGTCTTTTTGTTAAAATATGTTGTCTTTAATGCTGGCTGCCATGTAAAGTTACCTCAGTGCAATGCTGTTATGTAAAATATATTGTCTTTAATGTTGGTTGCTAGCCTATGTAAAGTTACCTCAGTGCAGTGCTGTTATGTAAAATATGTTGTCTTTAATGCTGGTTGCTATGTAAAATATGTTGTCTTTAATGTTGGCTGCTACTTTATTATTATAATGTTATGCTGCTACTTTATTATTACAATGTTATGCTGCTACTTCAGTTTCAGTGTTATTACTCAAAGTAACTCTTCATTTGAAATTACTTCATTTGCAAATACATAAACAATGTTACTTCAGTTTCAGTTGAAATTAACATTTGAAATAAACAATGTTACTCAAATTAACTCTTTATTTGAAATTACATAAAGTATCAGTTTGAGTGTTATTACAATGTTATGCTGCTACTCATTACTACAATGTTATGCTGCTACTTTATTAACACATACAACCATAACTCTTCATTTGAAATTACTTCATTTGCAAATACATAAACAATATTACTTCAGTTTCAGTTGAAATTAACATTTGAAATAAGCAATGTTACTCAAAGTAACTCTTCATTTGAAATTACTTTAGTTTCAGTTTGAGTGTTATTACAAGGTTATGCTGCTACTCATTACTACAATATTATGTTGCTACTTTATTAACACAGACAACCATAACTCTTCATTTGAAATTACTTCATTTGCAAATACATAAACATCAAAGTAACTACAACATTTGACATTACATCATTTGAGTACATGTGTTGCAACTAATGCAAACACAATTAAAAAGATAAACATCACAAGTAACCTCACAAAATAATACATAAACCTAATTTTCATCTTCAACAAATCTTCATTTTTCTTGATGTCCTTAATCACATCCATAAGCTCATCATTCTTGTCTTTCAAAGATCTTATCACATATTTAGCACGACTGCTCATGTCTTCATCAAACCACTGAAAATAATTACATCCTTTTTTCCTCATCACCTTAAAATTACCACAACCATGAAATCTTTTTCCGGGATTATCGTACTCATGTCTTCATCAAACCACTGAAAATAATTACATCCTTTTTTCCTCATCACCTTAAAATTACCACAACCATGAAATCTTCTTCCGGGATTATCGTATGTCCATGACGTCATCAACGGTGACTCAAGCTCACACCAACATCTATTACCTCTTCTTCTTATACCAGACCCAGACTGGTTTGTTGAGGAAAAAGAAAAATTCGTTTCGGACATGTTGGTAAGTAGGAGGCACGTTGGGTTTGTGAAGAAGGGTATGAAGAAACTTTGAAGTAATGAGTTTCGAAATTAATGGCTAAAGAAGGACTGATATGCGTTTGTTGAGGAAAGGAGGACTGGGTTTGAAGAAATGGCTACAGAAATGGCTGAAGAAATGGGTTGTTCTTCGTGCGTTGGGGTTTTATAAAATTGAACTTAATTTCTGAAAAATGAAATCAAAAAAATAAATGACAAGGAAATGATATTTGGTGAATAAGACCATTTTAAATGACATGGAAATGCCACATCTTCATTCAACGCGCCACATCATTAAAAACATGACTTAAAATGGCAAGGGGACTAATATCAAACTTGAAACTTAAAATGGGGACCTAAATGATAATTTTTAAAATGGGGGGATCAAAGCAAAAAAAACACAAAATAGGGGGACCAAATTTGCAATTAAGCCATAATAATAATAATAATAATAATAATAATAATAATAATAATAATAATAATAATAATAATAATAATAATAATAATAATATTGGCATTTAAAATATACCGTCAACAATTACTTTTATTCGAGTGTTTTGTTTTATTAGTTATGAAATGTCGGTTCCCTTCTTATTTGCATAAGTACACATATTTATCATTAAAATAAATTTTCATATCTTGTAGATAGTCACTATTACGTGGCAATATTTTATAAAATTATATTATTTTATTTGAGACATGTAATATTATTTTATTTAATTAATAATTATTGTGCATGATAAAATTTGCTATAGCCTCTTTAGCATAAATATTGTTGATTCATATGATTAGGATCTTGTTTATCGTAAGTTTAATTATATAAGTTTTGTGTGTTAAGTGGATAATTAATTTGTTAGTAATAATAATTATTTATATTAAAAATAATTATATTTTATAAATTATTATTGATATAAATTCAGAATAAATCAGATTCGCACCATCTAAAGATGGTTCAAGATGGAAGATTGATGTAAAATATGAAATTCACAACTAAGACTGACCTCATAGATTTGAATGTCATGTGTTTGTTGATCGTCTAACTTTTGATGAGCGGCAAGGTGTTATTGATTTGACAAAACATTATGTTCCACCTAGACAAATATATGCAATATTTGTTTGAAATTTTTGGTATGACATCAAGTGAGTTGAAATTGTTAGATTGTATTGGTGTTATATTATATTAGATGCTAAAAATAATAATACACAAGTCTAAAAAAAATAATATATAAGTCAATTAATCTAATGGACTTCCCTGAGCTAAGTGTAATTCTCAAAATAAGCCTGTAAACTCAAGGCCTTCCTCATCAACACCTATTCATTGGATATGAAGATGGAGCGAGGAAGCAATCAATGAAAGCCTCATATTTGACAGTCATGCATCATAGACAAAAATACACACTGTTGTCTATGAGTTCTCAAAGGTAGTATCAACTAAGGATGTGAAACTATATAATACCACTTCAAGTATTCAACATCAACTCCATGTAGAGTGTTGGTCACAATTGCCTGACCACGACCTCATGCACGCTTGAATGGTAATTAATCCACTCAACATCAACATCATGTGTGTTATAATCAGAAGGTGAAAGCGGTATATAGTGTCAAAATCTAAATTGATGTATTCACTTGTCAACGATCATTTATTGTCATTAGCTTAACGTCTTCCTTCACCGATTAGGAAGGATACTTGTTGTTAGAAAAGCCATCAATCTTGTTTGATTTAACCACATTATATTTATTCTTTACTTCAATCTTTGGTATCAGTGAATAAGGAACCTTCAGCCAATGAAAAAATATATTTGGTTCGTTATTTTGTTTATTTGTCCTTAAAACCCATGCTTGATTGAACTAAAGTATATACTTTTCTTCTCTACCCTCTGCACGACTTATTCTATCATCCTTCTTCTCAATCTGAATGTAGAGTCTGCCTACTAGTTTATGCAGCACCTTCATCTTTTTCGCTAGATGCATCTCATATTTAGATTTTTCTATTTGTTGAATTTTCTCACACTCTTATTTTGGATTTCCTTCCATAAGTTCATCTTTAAATCATAGGTTTTCAACTTTCATACCAGTACGCAAGAATGATCAACCTAAGAATGGTCTACCTAAGATGTTAGAGACTTTAACTTCTTTTTCAATATCAATTATTACAAAATTTTATTGGACAGATAAATGTTCTAACTTTTACTAACACATCTTCTAGGATTTCATGAGGAACTACAAAATATTCATTTGCTAAGGTTAACTTCATGTTGGTGACTTTTGTTTTTCCTCATAGTTTTCTCATCATAGAGAGTGTCATTAAACTGAAGTTTGCCCCAAAATCACATTAATCTTCTTGATAGTGGAAAGTATATTGAAGCTCCATATATATGGTTGCTTTGGTGGGAGTGTCTTTCTAATGATCACATCCTTCTAACAAGTTTATTATATCCTTGTTTAGGAATTTTATTTTCTTTGTTATGAGATCCTTCTGAATTTTTGCATAAGGTTAAATTTGTTAAAGGGCCTCAGAAAATAGGGATGACAAACAAACTCATACTCGCCCCAAAATTAATGGGGAAAACCCGATTTAATTGGGTGCGGGTGCGGGGGAAACCTGGTTCTTAACTACGGGGGCGGGTGCGAGGGCGAGAAGACATTAAGACCCGGCTGCACCCGCCCTCGCCCCCGCCCCGTCCCCGAATAATGCATTTTACTTTAATTTCCTTATTTTAATATTTATTTATTAATTATTTTTTAATTAAATTATTAGTGCCCTTATTGCAATTAAAATAATCAAGTTAATATTTATTTACTAATTAAATTTTTAATTAAATAATTAATTAATTTATTAAAATAATTAATTTATTAAAATAATTAATTTTTAATTAACTTATTAATTTTTATTGCAATTAAAAAGAAATAATTTTTTGTGGGTGGGGGTGGGGAGGGTGCGGGTATAGTTAAACCCGCCCCCGCCCCGCCCAATTGTCATCCCTATCAGAGAATGGTATAGTTATCTCAAAACTATTAAATAATATTATAAATTTTTTATATTGGCCTTCCTATACTTCATTCTTCTTTATACGTGGGCTAGGTGATGCAAATCGTAAGTGCATGACAATTTGAAGTAATATAATAAGATAGAAACCACAAGGAGATGAGTTTGAGTACTTAACGATGTGGAGCTAAAGCGATCAAATATTTAGAGATTTAGCGCGAATAAAATAAAATTAACAATAACAATATAAAGCAAAGTAGGTCACAGGTAACATGATATTTATCCCAAATTACCCAATTTACTTTCTGATTTTAATTATGAGAAAATAGAGCAGGCTATAGAACAGTAGATAAAAATGAACTATGCCCACTTTCGTGGCATGCGTGTCTAGACGTGTTTTTGGCTCAACTAATCGATTTTCTCAATCAAGAATGACCCCTTGTCAGTTACGTCTCATTATCAATTGTTTAGCAATCCGTAGTTGCATATTAAATCACTACCTTTCGGTACATGATCGGCATCTAGGTTGCCTTTGCTTTCTCTAGTCAACTATTTAGCCTTGTTTTTAGTAAATCAAATTGCAAATTTTTGTTCACTTAAAGGATTAAACTAAAAAAATCCTCTGGAAAATTTGTGCAAAAGATTTGAGAAAGTATGTTTATGCTTAGTATTTGATGTTTGAATGAAATTGGCTTGAAATTACAATAAGAACAATACATAATTATTCTAAGAAATAAATTAAAACAAAATAAAACAATAAAAGTACTTAAATAAAGTGCTTTGATTAAAGAATTAAAAGAGGGATGTAGATTCATACATGTTCTCTCACGAACTCTTTTCTCTTTGTGACTTGGATATTCGAGTTCTATAGAGATTACTGATAAAAATTGAGAACCCTTTTTACATGAATGAAATATGCTTATATACTAAACTTTCATAACTATCAATAACGGTCTACTTTTCAGCATTCGACACATGCACCATTACGTGGCCTTTTGTCCTATGCTTTGCTTCCACATGTTGGCATTTGAAACATCCTCTAAATTTCTCATGTAAAGGAGCTTGTCGAATCTTGTGGCATGGTGTCAAAATATCTCTAGGTCACCCAATCCTTGGAATCAAGAATACAATAATTCCAAAAATACCTGATGGGTGAGTCAAACTCATCATCTTAATAATACACTTTCATGTTGAAATGTGAAACCACTGCAAACTTTTTCGAGATTCTGAACATGTTTTGAAGAGAGAGTGATCATAATCTTATGGATCTATTCTTGAGATTCTTCTAAACCAGTCCTAGTAGGTTTCAATGCAACTTGAGTCAAGAATCACAGGATAACAGATCCCCCCCAAAAATTCCATTTTCGATCATGTTTGTAATATGAAAGAAATCTGGCATTTTTAGTAACACTCGACATGGTTCACATATGTATGCATTATCGTCATCATCACATCTAGAACATGCATTCAAACTATCATCAAAATTCCAAATTTCTAGGACATCGTAGTCCACAAGAAATAACCACCTTTTAAAAAAAAATTGCTCTTAATTCAGAAAATGAAATGTTAGTGGGTTTTAATTCAAAGGGTGGAAACTGAAAAGTTTCACTTCACAAGCTATATATAGACCCTCATTTGTTTCTTTCTTCTTTTTTGCCAACTTCTTCTCTGAACCTTAAAAGTTCTCATTTTTCTGAAACCTTCGTCATTTCTTCTTCTTCCATAGTTCTAACAACAATGGTTTCTTCTGGTTCGAAGTGACAACTTCTCATCCCATCTGCTTCTAATCTTCTAGAACCTATCTTTATCAGTAATCATAGCTATAGGTGCTTTATTTTCTACCTCTTCGACAACCTCCCGTTTGGATGGTGTCGGTGGATTTTTCTCAATCTCAACTCTTTTCTCACCAGATATCTCCTCAACCTCATTATCACTCTCCTTAGGATTTTCAATTTGTTTTTCACTACTGGTTGTTACAACATCCACATGTCTCTCA